AAGGATTATCAGAAGGCAGCCTGAGAAGCTTGCTTTGGTTTACTCAGTCTGATAAGTCTGTGTTCTCTGATAAGGGCCCAGTGGGTTAGAAAAAAGAATGTGCTTTTAGATCCTCCATGAGGATAGGAAATTGGTCTTTAACCAATATCAAAATAGTACTATGCTTACCAACTAATGTTGTAGTAAAGATGAAGTAAAATAACACACATGAAAGCATTTTGTAAACTCCAAAGTGATCTCTAAACATAAAAGAGGATTATATTTAAATAATTATAAGCAATCTAACTAGAATCAAAACCCGTACTTCTGTACCATGTTCATGGATTGGAAGACTCAGTACTATTAAGATATCAATCCTCCCCAACCTGATCTATAGATTCGATGCAATCTCATTTAAAATCCCAGCGGGCTTTTTTATAAAAATCAAGAAGTTGATTCTAAAATTTCATGGATAAGCGCAGAAACTAAAACAAGCAAGACGACTTCAAAAAAGGACAAAGTTGGGAGGACTCCCCCTACCTGATTCCCTGCCTTCCTATAAAGGTACAGCAACCAAAGTAGTGTGGGTTTAGCAAAATAATAGACACAGAGTCTAATAGAACCGAAGATAGAGTCCAGAAACAGATTCAGATCTATATGGTCAAATGCTTTTCAACAAAGGTGCCAAGGCAATTCAACAGGGAAAGGAAAGTCTTCTCAATGAATGGTGCTGGAACAATTCAGTATCCATATACAAAAAAAAGTGGTCCTCAACCCATGCTTTTTACCACACAAAAATAAATTAACTTGAAATTACCTAAGTATGAAACTTAAAAATATAAAACTTCTAGAAAAACACATAGGGAAAAATGTTTGTGACCCTGAGTTAAGCAAAGAATTCTTAGAAAAGACACGAAAGGCACAAAATTATAAAAGAACAAAATGATAAACTGGACTTCATCAAAATTAAAAACATCTGCTCTTTAAGATTTTGTTAAGAAAATGAAAAGACAAGCCATAGACTGGTAGAAAACATTTGCAAAATACATACTGAATAAAGAAAAAGTATCCAAAATATATTTTAAAAACTCTCACAACCCAATAATTAGAAAATGAACAACTCAATTTAAAAACTGGGCAAAAGATTTGAATAGACACTTCACCAAAGAAGATACAAGAATGGAAAATAAGCACACAAAAAGATATTCAACATTATTAGTCATTAGGAAAATGCAAATTAAAACTACAATGAGATGCCACCACACATGCATTAGAATGACCAAAATTTTTAAACTTGAAATACTACCACTTCACACCCATCAGGATGAATACTATCAAAAAAAAAAAAAAAAAAAAAAAAAAACAAAAAAAAAACAGGGGTGACAATGTGGAGAAATCAGAACTCTTACACACTTGATGGGAATGTAAAATGGTGCAGCCATTGTGGGAACAGTTTGAGAGTTGCTCAAAAAATTAAAAATAGAATTACCATATGATCCAGCAATTCAACTTCTGGGTATATAGCCAAACGAATGGAAAGCAGGATCTCAAAGAGATATTTACACACCCATGTACACAGCAGCATTATTCACAATAGCTAAGAGGTGGAAGAAACCCAAATGTCCATCAATGGATGAATGGATAAACAAAATGTGGTTTATACATACAATAGAGTATTATTCAGCCTTAAAAAGGAAGGAAATCCTGTCACATGCTACAACATGGATGAGCCTTGAGGACATAATGCCAAGTGAAATAAGCTAGTCACAAAAAGACAAATATTGTATGATCCCATGTATATGAGGTACCTAGAGTAGTCAAATTCACAGAGGCAGAAAGTAGAACAGTAACTGTCAGTGGCTGGGGAATGGGAATGGGGAGTTATTGTTTAATGGGTACACAGTTTAAGCTTTATAAGGTTTTGAAAAAGTTCAGGAGATTGATTGTGCAACACTTAAAAGTGGTTAAGATGGTAAATTCTGTGTTGTGTTCTTTACCACAATTAAAAAGAAATACTGAAATACAAGGGCTGGAGAGAGAAGGCAGCCACTGGAACTCTCATGTTGCTGGTGGAAACATGAACTAGTATAGCCACTTTATAAAACAGTTTAGCAGTTTCTTATAAAGTAAAAAACACATTTACCATATGATCCAGAAGTTCCACTACTAGATTTATACAAAAACTATATGACCATAATATCTTCATGTTATGTCCCTAATATCTTTACTCACAACTGCCAAAAGGTGGAAACAATACAAATGCCCATCAACCGATGAAATTATAGTACCTCCATGCAATGGAGCACTACTCAGCAATAAAAAAAAAGTAATGAACTACTGATAGATGCAATGTAGTGGGCTGAATTATGTTCCCTAAAAGAGATCAATCCCTACCCCCACATACCTGTGAATGTGGCCTTACTTGGGAAAAGAATCTTTGCAGATGTAACCAAGATGAGGTCATACAAATTAGGGTGGTCCCTAAATCCAATGACTGATGTCTTCATAAGAGAAGGGAGAGAAAGGTTTGGACACAGAGACACAGACAAATAGAAAACAAGGTCATGTGCAATGGAGACAGAAAGTGGAGTGAGGGAGCTAAAAGTCAAGGGACGCCAAGGACTGCTGTCAACCAACAGAAGCTAGAAGAAGCAAGAAAGGATTCTCCCCTTGAGACTTCAGAGAGCACAGCCTGCTGACACTTTGATTTTAGACTTCCAGCCTCAGAACTGTGAGGGAATAAACGCCTGTTTTAAGCCACCTAGTTTATGCTACTTTCTTACAGCTGCCTTAGAACAGATCAGTGGTTCCAAAGGCTGGAGGTGGGGGATGGAAACAGATTACAAAGGGACGTAAGGGAACTTTGGAGAATGATGAAACTCTTCTGTTATCTTGATTATGGTGCTGATTATTCAAGACAGAATTACTTCAATTGTACTGTATGTAAATTACACCTCAAAAATGTTTACTTAAAAAAAAAGATGTGCTTCTGGGATTCCCTTTTCTCCTCAGTTTGTCAAGAATTCTGGGAAGAGGGCTTCTACTGGCCTAATCAGGGATAATGTGAGGATCGAAATAATAATAATAGTTATAGATGACAACCCATGGAATAAAATAAGAAACCACAAAATTACATAGAAATCAATATATAAATTGAAAGTTTGATAAGGATCAGGATAAAGTATCTCCTCACAAAATATTTATTAATTACAAAGGGGAAGCATAACTTTAAATTGGAGAAGTCTGACAAACACCACCTTAATTAAGTGATAAAAGTGAGCATCAGTTGTACCAGGACAAATGAAAATTACCCATTTAATGGGATACAGTAACAGCATCAATTCTGTGCTATTCCTGCCAAAGATGCATAATCTGAATCTAATCATGAAGAAACATCAGACAAACCCCAGCTGAGGGATACTCTACAAAATAACTGGCCTGTAATCTTCAAAAGTGGCAAGGTCAAAAAAGTCAAAAATAACTTTTTTCATGTCAAAAATAAAAGATTGAAAACTCTACTACACTGAAGGAGACTAAAGACAATAACTAAATACATGCAATTTTGAACTGGATCCTTTTGCTACAGAGGACAGTAATGGGACATTTGATGAAACTTAAATGGGGTCTGAAGATCAGATGGCAATAATGTATCACTGCTGATTTTCTCATTTTGATGGCTCTATTTTGGTTATGTAGCACAAGGTCCTTGCTTGTTAGAAATACACAGCAAAATATTTTGGGGTGATATGGCATAAGATCAGCAACTTATTCTGAAGGGGAAAAAAGTTATCTGTATGGTACTTCCAACTTTTCTGTAAGCTTGCGATTGTTTCAAAGTAAAAAAAAGTATTCAAAGAATCCTGGCAAGACCAATGCAATAGGAGAGGGAAGTCAAAGTAAATTCTGTATTCCTCCAAAGTTGACAATAAAATGCCACACTACCGGGATCTCAAACACAGCAAACCTTGACAACGCTCTATTTTCTGAAGCATGAAATCCAGCATAAAGCAGAGATCTACTTTATTTGTATACCGAATGATCCAAAAAGCCAACATATAGGAAGTTGGATCTACACAGGTAGACCTCTAACATTAAGTGTATTAAAGTGAGATTCCAATGCATATTAAAGACGATATTCCAGTGTAATAGGTACAAATATGTTTACATTGGACTTTTTATAATGACTATTATACTTAAGAGTTCCTATTAGTACTCTCAAATGGAAGTCTCCAATTTAAATACTACTTTTGCTTAAGGAACATCATCAAACAAAACCCAGTTTTCACAACAAAAAAAGAAGACAGTGATATCCAAATGAATCAAGTTTTGCTTCATCTTAAAGGTGATATCTCAACTTTAATATCAAATCTTAAATTGTGTAATAGAATGACTGTTTTGAACAAGGCCCATCACTGACATGAATGATTAAAGCATCTATGACACTGCACTAAACTAAATGCAATATAGACCATTTACCAATGCCTTAGATCTGTGGTGTCCAATGTGGTAGAAACTAGTCACAGGCAGGTAGTAAAATGTGGCTAGTTCAAATAGAGATGTGTTTTAAGTGTTAAAACAAAAAAACAAAAAAAAAACAAAAAAACAGATTTCAAAGACTTAGTACAAAAAATAAAGAATGTGAAATATTTCATTAATGTTTTTTGATACTGATTATATGTTGAAATGATATATTTTGGATATACTGAGTAAATATTTATTTATTTATTTAAATAACATTAAAATTAATCCCGCCTGTGTTTCTTTTTCCTTTAATGTGGCTACTAAAAAAGTTTAAATTATATATGTAGCTCACATATTTATAATGGACTGCACTACCTTAGAAAATATAAAACTACCTTATGCTTCAGAAAGCAGGAAAGAGAATAATGATGAACTTCTCAGAACACTGAACTGTATCTAGGCCAGGTTTATCCTTTAAGATCGAATCTTTTTAAGGATAATAATCTCTGCCTATCCTTTTACAGTCCACTCAGCTTGAAGGAGTAAATATCTGGAGGTACCTGGAACTCTGATACACTGCTACGCAGCTGGCTCACATTTGGTAAGGATCCTCCATGGTACTGGGTCAGGCGCAGTTGCTGAAGCTTCTGAAATTGAACCTGCAAACACAGTGATTTTAAGACTGTTGAGAGATGACAGAAAAGAGCTGGGGAAGCATCAAAGTATGGTGTTTTGCAGTAAAATGGTTCAAGAGTGAAAGTCTTGGTTTCGATTTCTTCTCTACTTAAAACCGTCAGGTTTCCGGTGCTTTGTGGTTTTTGATTAGTCTATTTTGGGAAAGAATTTACCCATGTTCCAAATGTCCCATACACCGTGACAGCAAAGCACTCTCTTGCAAGGACTTTGAGTGTGTGTGTGTAGGCGTATGGGCACAATCAGCATAAGGGAATTTCTTGAAGAAAAACTAAGCCATTACCTATGACTTTACGACATTAACTGTTTTTCCTTCTCCATGCTCTTTTCCAGTCATTTACCTTTATGTGTAATAACTGCATAGTTGTGATCATAACATAGGTACAACCTCAAGCCTTTTCTATGATTATATATTCATATTTTATGGCAACATAACATTTCTTCTGAATTATTTCCACAGGACACATTCCAAAGAGTGATTATTAAATCTCTGAGTATGGTCCTTTTGATGGCTCTCAACACATAATGCCAAACAATTTTGCCAAAGGGTATATCAATGTATATATGAGAAAGCAGTTTCATCAAAATCCTCACTAACACTGGATATGATCATTAACTGGGGTTAAGGAAGGAGGCCAATTCAACAGATATAAAATGGTATCACACTGTTTTAATATGCCTTTCTTCTGCAAGTTCTTCCTTGCTTCATTTTTCAAAAGGCAGTAAACCAGCTGCAGTTCTTGTAAACTCCAAAGTGGTCCAATTTGGTCTTTAAGAGTTCTCTTTCTAAAATAAAAAATTACCTCTGTGGTTATATAGCCTTTGGCACGTATAATTCACGCAGAGAAGAAAGGGTAGACAGGAACTCTCAGGCAGATTTTCACCCTTTCATTACTTTTCGTCTTTGTCTAATAAAAATAAATTACCAGCTCTGAGTCTCTACTGCCCGCTTCATCCCCAACCCTCTCCACAACCACGAAGCGAGCATCCTGCTTTTATAAAGCTGGAGACCCAGACAGAGAAGTTCAGAGACTTGCGCAAGGTCACAAAGCTACAGGAATCAAAGCTATGGGTCTAACTCAAAACCTATAGTCTTTCTTACTTCTGCCATGTTCTTTTCATTTTTTTTTTCGTTTTTTCCTCAATGACTATAGAGTTTATAAACTCAGAAAAGTGAAGTTTGGCTGACAAAAGCATTGCTCAGCCTATGCAGCTGAGTTTGTTTTGTTTTTGCATTCATTATGAAAATTTTCAAATATATACATTGTAGAGATAACCTCACCTATCTATCTTCCAGCTTCAACAGTTACCTCAACTTATGTCCAATCTTGATTCATTTTTACCTCCTCCACTAATCATGGCATCCCACTGAAAGAAATCTCAGGCATATTATTCTGTATTTCAATATACATTTCCAAAAAATAAGAACTTGTATCTGTTTGGAAGTTTTAAAAGCATATAAAAACTTTGGGCAGCCTTAAATTCCTTATACCCACAGAATTTGATTTCTTAAACATACCGTACTGGGAGATGGTTATAATCTATTAATCAAAACCCAGATCTGCGAGTCAGATAATGGAAGGAGGACATTGAGAGCTTTCCCATCTATCAGCTGAGTTACAAGAATAAAGTTTTGGCTTTTGATGTTGACATTCTCAGAGCATTTACTAGGAGCATTTGACTCTGTCCCTGAAATTCTCTAGACAAAATTCTCACTCCCCACCCCCACTTCATCTAAAGTCTTTGATTCCTTTTTCCATCAATCCATCCATTTTTTTCACTTATATAAAAACTTTTAACTGCGTGCCAGGTACTGTGCCAGGCACTGGCTCACTAAGATGAACATGTGTCAAAGTTCCTGCCTTCAGAAAGTTCTCGCAAAGGCTTCAACTCTTACCCAAAAGCCTTGACACTTCAACCAAGCTAGTAGGTTCTACATCTAGCCAGAAACTTGCCTTCCGTGGATCTTAAGGCACTCTCATGATCTCCCACATCTGTTCTACCTCCCCAAATGCCTATTTCTATACCCTTCAGAGACTGTTGCACTACAGTAAAAAGAGCACTGGATCTGGAATTGCGAGACCTGACTTTGTAACCTGGAGCTGCCACCAGGTTGGGCAAATTACTCTGCTGTTTACTTCACAAAGGCAATGTATGGATTAAAAAAAGAGAACAGATGCAACACTAGTATGTAAAGGTAGTGCTCTGGATAACCTCTCAAAGTATCATCATTATTGTTGATATTCTCAACTACCTCCTAAACCCTTGAGAAATTTTGATATTTTCTTCTTTTGAGATGTAGAATCATTGAGCTAGAAAGAACCTTAGAGACTGTCTGCGACATCGTCATACTTACTGATGATAAAAATGAGAACCAAAGAATAATTAGCCTGAGGCAGAGATCACAGACTAGCAGGCCATGAGCCACATTTAGCCAAGAGAGTTCTGTTTGACCCACATGATAGTGACCCACTCAATGTTTTACATTTTAATCTTAAAATTGGAAAATTGTGTAGAAATTTGGATTTCTAACTTCTCTTCATTGAGAGATCATACAACACTGAACCCATATTCTTACATGGCAAAAATGCATGGAGCTGAGAAGCAGCTGCCTCCTTAGACAGGGCTTGGGTTCTTCTGTTTGCCCAAGTCTTCATTGTACCCTATCATTCCTCTATGATTAGCCAGAGATCAGCTACCAAATGTCATCATTTCTGATCCCCTCACTCATTTTTATCTGCTTCACTCTGTAACTTGAGTTAGCAACCTTTAGACTACAGTCACACACTTCAGTGGAATTTCCTTTAATGTCTATATGAAATAAGATCCAATCCTCACTAATTCCTTTGTGAAAAAGTCTCCTAATAGTCAACATAATCTCAAAATCCCAGCAAGCCTTTTAATAGAAATTGATGAGATAATTCTAGAATTTATGAATATCCGAATAACATACAATAGCCAAAACAATTTTTTAAAAAGAGCAAGATTGGAATATTTAACTTACCTCATTTTAAGACTTATAATAAAGCTACAGAAATACATGCAGTGTGCTACTATTAAAAGAGGGATGTATAGATCAATAGAACAGTAAGTAGACAGAGTCCAAAAAGAGACCCACACATATATGCCCAATTGATTTTTAACAAAGTGTCATAGCAATTCAATGAAAAAAGAAAAGTGTTTTCAACAAATGCAGTTGAGTATACATGCAGTGTGACAGCCAGATTCAAACCCTAGTTCTACCACTTACCAGCCATGCAACCTTATCTCTCAAGCCTCGGCTTGCTCATCTGCAAAATGAGAAACATTCTAGAAACACACTCTATAGGGTCACTGTGAGAAGTACATGAGATAATGAATGTAAAGGGATCACTACAGTGCCTGGCAAAAAGACAACGCTCAATCCTTAGCCCAAACCTAACCTTTGTAGTCTCCTCTCTCACTCACTTGGAGGCCTCACTACTCCGTAACATACCTAATGTTTGTTTTAATCTAAAAATAATGTTTTCTCCAAATATTCAAGCAAAATTAACGCTCCAGGTTGATGTGCTAAGTTTATCCTGTGGTTTCTCAATACTACAAGTTGTCCTTCAAAGCTGAACTTCTTGAACAAGTTCCCAATCCTGTCTCCATTTCCTTCCATTCATTACTCAATGCCTCACAACCTCCCTTCCAGCCAGCACCCTGTGAATGCAGTGGCTCTCAAGCAAGGTTACCAATGATCCCCACGTGACTAGACCAAAAGACATGTCCTTATCATGTCCAAGTCAGCAGCACTAGGCTCAGCTGGTTGACTTTCTCTCCTAAGAATAATCTTCCTGGCTGTTCTGTCTGGCAGCTCTTCAGTCTCCTTTGCTGGTGCCACCTCTCCCACCCCTTTAAACAGTGGGGCTCCTTGGGTTTCTCCTAGGCCCTCTTTGCATCTCACGCTATAGCAAGGGTCACAAACTCAAATGCCTACTACAGGTGCCAAATATGGAAGATAACTAAATGAAGCAGGCTGGAATCACTGTGAAGAGCACAGGGAATTGTGGGAACTGTGGCAAACCAAAGAACACATACATGCCTTACCTAATGATGAGAGCCACTATTTAGCTCCAGGTAATTGCTGCCATGCAGAAATGCAGAGTGAGTATTGTTAGATCATCTCATTTTTCAAAAGAAGCCAGAGTGCAGATTTCAATATAAAACTGCAAAATTCATTGTTGGCCCTAATATTTTATAAACATACATTTGGTCCCCCCAAATTAAAAGCATGTCAGAGGGCCAAATTAGAATTTAGGCCACCAATTTGCAAGATCTGTTCTAGAAATTCTTCCCAGGTATCTGAATCTACTCCTGCAGCTACACACCAAAGATTCTCACATTTATATCACTAGCCTAGACTTCCCTCCTGAGCTAGAACCACATAAACAACTGCTTGCCAGACCATCTCTACTCACATGCCTCACAGGCACCTCAAACTCAGCATCTCTTGACACTGCTTCCACTTTGCTCCTGCCAGTGCTCCCTCTCTTAATGGAGGATACCCTGAAATGGCTCAAGTCTGAAAGCTGGTAATTATTCCCTGTGTCCTCTCTCTCCCTCACCTTCCTCAACCATTCACTAAGTCTGGTCCTTTCTAAGTCCTAAGTATCAATCTGTTTACCTCTGCCTCCCTATTGCTACCACCCTAGTCAATGCCATGTCACACCTCCTAGAATAGTATTACAACAAAGGTTTCTCTGCCACCTCCTCCTCTGTTCTATCCACCATCCCAGAGATAGAGGCATTCTTTTAAAATGCAAAGCTCCCCTGGTTCCACCCCTTCAATGACTCTCCATTGTCCTTAGGATCAAATCCTGTCTACAATCTGATCCTCTAGAACACATCATCTCAAATCACCCTCCTTGTCCCCTTACTGAACCTGTTCCCTGTGCCTGAAATGCACAAGTATATATCCTCAAATGCCTTCCCCGCTCCCACTAACCCTTTAGGTCACTAGAAGAGGTCAGGACTCCATACCATACACTCCAAGAGTTCCATCTGCTTCCCCTTTTGCAATATTCACCAACATGTGTCCTTATTTGCCAAATAAATGGTCTTTCCCATTAAATTTTAAAATCCATGAAGAGACTGTGCTTTGTTCACTCACTACTATACCCTCAGTGCTCATCCTAACCCCTGGCACACACTAGGGACTCAATAAGTGTTTCTTGAATAAATTAATAAAATCTTTGAAGCGAGACATCTTGTCTTCATCTTCCCCATGCACGCACCCCATTTACCACAGTGGGTACTCCAGTACTGACAACTTAATGAAGGAACAGCCTCTTTCCAGGCATACCTGCCTCCACTTTCTTCCCGCTCCTTATCATCCCAGGGACCACAATCTAGTGTTCTCTTCTTAAATTTTCCTACTGCTTCCTGATAAGGCTGAATCCTAAAGCTAGAATGAAAAAAATCTCCATAATCTAGTCCATCCTAGCTACTAGGAAAACAGGATTTAACTTTAACTCTTGAAGGATTAGCTGTGATTTTATAGAGAAGTACTCAAAGCCCAGAACAGACTCAAAAAGGAAGGAGTATCTAGACTGATTAACAATGCCTGCCACAGGCTAGATTGAAAGTCAGTGTATCTGCCATCCAGTCACCAATAAAGAACTAGATGGACTCTTCTTCATCTGGACCATTGAAGGTTCACAGACATATGCTTGGGGATCTAAGAGTTCTCTACAAGTGTGCAATTGTGTGATTCACTACAAAAATAATCCTTAAAAGTTTTAAATAAGCTAATCTTACTAGGCAAATTCAGTGTTATCGCTTGGCTTGTGTTTATGAACACAATTGAGCCTAGGAGTATAATTTTACTTGCAACTGATAGAGGAGAAAACACGAGCAAATTTAATATGTAAATGATGCTCTGTACCAGATAAAGGGCAAATGGCATCATAATTTTATAGTAATTAGAACAGAGAGAAGTAGTAGTGACCAAATTGAGTTGTCACATGGGACACAGCTAACCAGGCTTGCTAAACTCAAGTAATCTATGGGTTTAGCACCATATTTACATTGAGAGCTTCAATTCAGTTCAGGAAAATACCATTTGTCACAAATTAATGTTAATTTGAATTTATTGCATTTTTAACTTTGAATTTATTTGTATGTTTTAGTTTACAGTTGTATCACAACTATAAGCAAAGGACATAATATACAAGTTTATGTTTGAACATACTCAAGTAACATAATCAAACTCATTTAAGTGAACACTTGAGGATTTGTGAAAAAAAAAAAAAACTGCCTTTAAAGGAGTCTGTATATTACTCAGGGCTGTATCTTCCAGGGATGTTTTAAGGTGTTTTCATAAACTGGGTGAGAGATTGGATCAACTGTGGGTAAATAGACATACAGAGTGCATGTTATCTGTACATACACAATTTATGAATCTAAACAACATAACACAGGCCCCAGCATTAATCCTCAGCTTTCACCCAGTAATTCTCCTCAGTGTGCTCTGAGCTTGTCATACTCATCCCTGACTCTAACCAAGGTCACATCAATAATGCCTGTGGACATCAGACAGGTAATAAATAAGTGAAACTAGTTAGGGCATGAAAAAAATTTTTTCTTGAAATCCTCAGGCTTTTTTATCTATATATACATTTTTCTCAGCGAAACAGAAATGTAAATATAAGAGAATTTCAGTTTCTCTTATACTTTACTTCACTAAAAGAAAACCCCATCAAAAAAATGATAAATGGCAAGTGATACCTAGCCTCAGAGTGGGGTATCATGGCAGGGTGTGGTGTGAACTGTGATCAACTAGAGAATTCATGCTCCATGTGGGGGGCAACCACCACCTAGCTCCAGCCAAGGGCTGGCACATGGGAATTCAAGATGACTGTTATTAGGTCTTCCGATTTATATATGCATATATATAAAGAGAAATATTTACACAGAGAGAATAAATAAATATTGGTTTTATGTGAAAATCTCCCAATTAAAAAATTCTGGAACCAGAGTCAAGTTTTCCCAAACACTATGCTGACCGAAAAATAAGGTGTCTGCAGCTCGGTGCCTGCAACCCCGCACTCGGCCCTCCTTCAAGCCGCTCCCTTCCCCCCGCCCCGGCCCAGCATCTGCACATCCTCCCCATCCTCCCGATGGTCCCTCAAGGTCAGCATCAGGATCCTCCAGGCCTGCCCGGCTCCACCTGAGCCTCCTCAGCAGTCCCGCGCGGGCACTGCTGGCTCTCCACCCTCCGCGGCCTCACTCAACAGTCACCCCACCTCTCCCGGCGTTTTCCCCGCTCGCGTCTTACTCCTGGACCCTCCTCAGTCACCAGCAATGCTGTGCACCTTGCCC